CCAGCCTTGCACTGAGTTGGAACGACCAAAGAAATGTTTGATTTAATTCATAAATAAAAGTTTTGGAAAACATGTATGAATGCTATATTTTGGAAAGTAAAAAAGAGATTTCATTTGTTAGCGGATGAACATGTCCCAGTGGGGACGTTTTTTTCCATGATTGCTACAGCATATAGCAAGAGGGAGAAAGAGATGATGAATAACCATTATTATATGCCTTTTCATTCAGATTTGTGTATGCATCTTGGTTGGTCACAATGTTTTGTCTGTTGTATTCTACAGTATATTTAATGTGTCTGCCATAATCAGTAACTTTCCATGAACTACATGGGCAAGCAGATTAAAGTGTTGGTTCAAAGATATCTGATTTCCAAACAGTTGTGAGTTCAATCTCTTGGTCAGGTAGTGTGGAAGAAATTATATAGTGTGGTCTAGTGGAAGAAATAGATACACAATACAAAAATGAATAGACTTGAGTGAATTAACTGCAAAGACTGATCTCTCTTAAGCATGGAAAGTGAAATGGGAAGAACCTATCCCAGTAGATTGAATAAAGGGTTTAGTTAAAAATTATAAGGTTACTGTGTAGGATGACAAGTTTCCTTAAGAAAGTGTACAATAGCCAAAATGCTTTCAGTATAAGAAGCAGGTTTAATAGTTTGAATGAAAATACATGTGCTAAAGATTTTATTTTTGAGAAAAAAAATAGACAGTCAGCAGTTGTCATAAGATGTGAAAAAAATATTGTCAATGTTATAAGTGCTCTCTTTCAAGAAAAGAAAAATGAGTAAATTTCTTTTTTCTTGGGTAAAGAATAAAAGCAAAATCATAGTGTTCATAGTAAAAAAAAAATAAAAAACTTGTCCATGTTTTAAATGGTTTCTTTTAGAGTCTGTCTATATTTCTGAGATGAGTTATTAAGTACATTATTTACATTATTCGGACTATTGTCCTCATCTTTGTCGCCATATTTATCACAATGTTTTGCCATTGTACACTCCGGCCTTCTTCAGGTGGTTGGAATTTCAAACTGAACCCTTTATTTTGCTCACTGGGGTAGACTGTTCTAGTTCCATGTGCCATGTTTGCTAGATGTCAGTTATCAGTTATCTCCTGCTAATTTCCCTCTGAAAGTTCTCCACTGCCTTAACCGGGTATTGAACTCACACTCTTTGGGTCCTGTCATGCCTTTATTAACTGTGCCATGTGGCACAGTGGAGAAAGGCGTTGATTAGATCCAGTGTCTTAACCGGGTATTGAACTCACACTCTTTGGGTCCTGAAGAAGGCTGGAGCATACAACGGCCAAAACGTTGTGATAAATATGGCGACAAAGATGAGGACAATAGTCCGAATAATGTAAATAATGTGGTTTCTTTTAATTTTAAATCCGAACTGACCAACTTTATTGAAAGCATTATAGAAGGTTGAGTGTACAATAGTCAAAAGGCTGTCAGTATAAGAAGAAATTTTAATAGTTTGAATAGAAACACATGCTAAAGATTTTAATTTTGGAAAAAAAACTAGACAGTCAGCAGTGGCTATAAGATATTACCAACACTGTAAGTGTTCTTTTTCAAGAAAATAAAAATAACTGATTTCTTTTTCTTGGGTAAAGAATAAAAGCAAAAACATAGTAATCATGAGAAGAAGAAACTTTGCCCATGTTTTAAATGATGACCAACTTTATTAGAAGCATTGTAGCGATGATTCTAATTTATTTTAATTAATTTTGCTAATTAAAGTGTCTGAATTTGCAAGTTATGCAGAAAGTAGTAAAATAAATTTAATGTAAAATGACAAATACTTTCACATATAATAAAATCTGTTCAATGCAAGATATTCTTTTAAAGATGGTATTTATTCTGTGTTTCTGCTTGATATGAAGTTATTTTCTTCTTTTGGGCTTTTATAAAGTATCTTGGTCAATCTGCAGACCTGAGGAAGAGATAATTAGCTTTCCCTTTTTAGTGTAAATTTTATTCACAAATGCTTGCTTGCTTGCTTTATTAAATACACAGAAGTTATTGTGTCTCAAATAAATAACTACAAAGAGGCATATGGGGGAGTGCTGAAAACACTTGGCCTTGCTTACTTCCCTAAATTTGACCAAATGAATAAACATCAGAGTATTTTTGGAAGTGCTTCTTGACCTGGCTGAGAATGTTTCAGCACCATCCTCATAAGGGTGATCAATAAGTCTGTAGCTTGGCATGCGGAATTCTGGTATGAAATTTTACCACTGAATTAAACACATTGACAAGGAAGGAGCCAACCAGGGTTTTCTGGTTGTGACCAGGAAGGAAATGAGTATTCAACAAAAATCAAAGGAAGAAATAATAATAATAATAATAATATCAATATTATTAAAATTCTGAAATATTGTTTGAATTTTAGTTTGAAACAAAAGGTAGAGGAAAATTGCTTTTAATGTTAATGATTGACTGAAATCACAATCATCCAAAAAAGGTCATTGATAAGTGTACTTACTTCTTGCGGAAGAAAAAATCCCCTGAAACTGAAATCCTTGTGAATTCCCTCATGCATTAGCAGCTTTGCAGACTGTTGGACTCTTGGACATTTTTGTGCTGTCTTTGGAGATTGGTCACTCTGTTAAAAAAGAAAGAAAAGAAAGGGTCATATTATATTTAAGATAGTTAAAAGAGTAAAAAAAAATTAGGTAAATAGATTACTGTGTTTGTGTCCTGATTTGATTAGGTAAGGTTCATGGGTTTGAGGACATTTCATTATTTTTCCTCAACATTCTTTCTGTGTATAAATACAAGTTATGAAATAAAATACCTAGATTTATCTTGATAAAATTCCTCAAGAAATGGAATGTGTTGCTATGGAAAAATTTTCCTTTGTCTTTTTTTTCATATGAGTAGTTGCTGAGGTCAATACCCAGTGACAATCTTAAATGTAATCTTCAGTGTGTGTGTTTTGGTTTGACTATTTATATATGCTGGCCAATGGTATATTATGAGTAGCAAGGTCTATTGCATTATCCTAATGATTGTGTGGGCAATAATGGCTATGTTTGAAATTATTCTAGAAGCTATTGAGTACAAATAATTGTGGATTTGACTGCAGGTATTTCTAGCTATTTTATATTGTCTTTTGTTAACTTTTTTTATTTATTATTAATTATTTTATTATGTTATTATTGATTATTATTATTACATTTACTTGTCATCACTGGGTGTTGGCCTCACTGTCCACACATTTATATTTACATATGATGCCCAAACCATGATATTGAGCACTTTAACCAATGGATATAGCATACCTTAAAACTATATTTTATCATATATATATATATATATATATATATATATATATATATATATATTAAATTTTCATGTTTACATAGAAGAGAATAAATGTTTAGGTTCAATGAGTGTAAAGTTAATTTTAGAAGAAATATGGTCCAAGGTATTGCTTTTTTGAAGACATCATCAAGTTAGGTATAGACAAATGGTGAATTTTGTAGCACTAATGCATGTTGTGATGTAGGCAAGGAGTTGGTGTGGATTTATATATATATATATATATATATATATATATATAGAGAGAGAGAGAGAGAGAGAGGCACCTCAACGTGGTGTAATGGTTAGTAGTGAGTTCGAGCCTCACTGGGTGCTCCATACTTTCGACCTTGTGCCACATCTAAGCAGTGCTTAGAAAATCACTATATATATATATATATATATAGAGAGAGAGAGAGAGAGTGTGAGTGAGAGATTTGGATAATTTCTGAAGGAATTTCCACCTTATCTTAGAAGGATTATTCATAATTTGGAAAAGTCAATAAAATTAATTGATCTGTCTGTGGCCCATTGGCTAAAAGCATTGGTTCAAGTAATCCAGTGACTTGACCCAAAGAGTTGTGTGTTCATTACCTGGCCACAGCAAAGGTGAACAAAAAATTTGGAGAGTTACTAAAGGGAAATAACTGAAACTGAGATATCCAGAAACTTGGAAATAGAACAATCTACCCCAGTGCAAATAATGGGTTCAGTTTGAAATTCAAATATATATCCCCTGAAGAATGCTGGAGCATATAATGGCCAAAATGAAGATGCGGATAACAGTCTGAACAATGTAAATAATGTAAAATATTAATTGACCCAAAATGTCTGTTGTCTTAGAGAATATTTGCTGCCTAAATACACAGAATGTGTGTGTGCATGTATGACTGATGATTACTGTAAAACTGCTGATCATGATGCACGACTATTTCTATGTCCACACTGTTTATATTGACAAACTTATGCTTTATTCCTGTTATTAAACATGATTTCTCTTATAAATATAGCAGACCATAGTTGAATTGATATAAGGCACATCAGTTTCTCCTGGTGGACTCAGGTTCAAGTCCTGACAGAGGATGAATATTCAGGCCATTAAGATGTAGATAAATTAATATACTGTTTAATATATACATACATATATATATATATATATATATATATATTTAACAGATATAATAAAATGACAATTTAACTCTTGAAAATATATTTCAATTGAGAACTGTTGAATAAAAAGTGCTAATTCTACAAACTACAGCCACCTGCGCTAATGCAAAGCTCTTCAGTAAAATGAATAGAGCCCTCAGGCTGATTGGCATTTGTTTACATTTGTAGAACAATACACTAGAATTAGATGTTTCATTCTGTCGAATGAAGATAGCTCAGTAGTAGAAACTGTGACTGACACCAAATTGGTTGGGTTTCAATTCTAGCTTGAGGTCTTTGGAGGAGCTGTGATACAGCAAAACAGTACTGTCTATGATAATATATATATATATATATATATATATATATATATATATATATGCACACAGATAGGATGTATTTCTTGGTTGAATATTTAAAAAGTCACAATGAAGTCTTTTTTTTTGATGATCTCTTTCTTTTTTGCCTCCTTTTTCATTAAAATCTATCCTGTTCATTTGAGGAGCATAATACACTAGTCTTATTTAAAACACCAAACAATCTCACAAATATAAATGTGACTTATTCAATTAATCGAATATCCCATGAAGGAAATTAATGCAATGCCAGTCAAGCCATAAATTTAAAGAAAAGTTTAAATTTAATTGAAAACAAAAATAACCAAGCAGTGATAGTTTTTAAAAACACAGACATTAATTTAGGAGAAAAGCATTTTGTTAAAAGCTGAGGTGCAAACAATTTGCCAGAGAAGACAAGCCATAACTGTATAATATATCAGGTATATTTTGACCACAACTTTTTACATGTACTAAAGTTATCTCCCTTGCACTTTGATATGAATATAGTGGACTGTGAGAAGAAGCCAGGAAGTGAAAAGATGGATTTTGTGAAAGAGCAGATCATAAAAACTCATATGTTTAAACCTAATAATAGTAACTGCTTCACAAAATATGAGTTTCATATATGCTGCCATTTTTTATAGCAAAAGTAGTGTTCATATGAGATTCTAGTAGACATAATGTGGGGGATCGGTTTTCCATTACTTTTAAGTAATAAACTGATCCCCAGAGAATGACAAGATATTATTAGAAGTAAAAGACATATTTAAAGATTGACATGTTTAAACCTAATAATAGCAAAGGCTTTACAAAATGTGAATTTCATACATGCTGTCATTTTTGACATCATAGGTAAAGTAGTGTTCATATGAGATTTTACTGGATTTTATTACTTAAAAACAAGTTTTTAAGTAATTGATTTGTATTTTTTATGGCTTATCAACTCTTTACAGGTTATTTAAAGCCAGAAAATATTTTTAGATTGTAAGAAATTTTTGGAGATAATGATTTACAGATACAAGTTCTACTAATTAACCCATAGTTAGTGGATGAATAAATACCTTTCCCAAAGGTATCTGCATGTAAGTGAATATAATGAACCTAACTCTGGAACATGACTGTTAAATTTCCAATTCCGAGCCATTATCCATTACACCAGCCACACATCAAAGCTTACAGCACCTGGTATTGCCAAGTGGTCACCCATCTAGGTATTGACCGAGCTCAACATTGCTTAACTTCAGTTTTCAAGTAGTACTACAGAATTAAGCATTAATATAATAACTGGAAATGATATATTTAAGGACTCACATATGAAAGTTTTCTAATAGTAATAAAGGTTTAATAAAATATCAGTTTCACATATGTTGTCACTTTTGACAACAACCACTGTACCACTTGTAAGATGTGCTTGTAATTCTGGTTATGAATTACAATGTTTTACAATGGTATCTGTTCTAAGGGAAGCTGATGGTTTCTTTTCTGGTTTCTTTTTTTTTTGTGGTGGGGGTAGACGCATGGATTGTACAGATTCAAACCTACCCTCTTAACATTCCCTATGGGAAGGTGGGGTCCAAATAGACTGGTGGAGGATCAGTTACAGTGAATGGCCAGCACAACTTCTGATACAAGGAATGCTCTTTTTTACACTTCATGACATGTGTACACACCCAAAGTATTATGTTTTACATAACTATAAATAAACTTAGTCACCCACAAACTACTGATTGATCAATACAAGGTGACTCAAAAGTTATTTAACATAAGATAAGTTTATAAACATGATTATATCTAAACTAAAGTACACCTTTTGGTTTTAATTTTTTGTATTCATATATTTTGCTTAATTTTTTATATTCATGTATTTTCATTAATTTTTCATTGTTTTATCTTAACTTTTTATTTTATAGCATTAGAGCAAAGTACCTTTTGGTCCACCCTGTATAAATTAGTATTGGTATAAAGTACTTAACAAAACAGATTAGTATACAAAATCAGTGCTTCAGATAGTGCACAAAACAACTAACAAAGGTATTTTATTCCTGTGATCCACAGAAATATAGAAATGTTTCCCAATGTACACAGGGTGGACTAAAAGGTTCTTTGCTCCAATGCTATAAAATAAAAAGTTAAAATAAATTTTTTTCTTTTATCTTCAGGACGTAGGCGATCATGGCTGTCCACTTGCTCCTATCCCTTGTAGCTCTCAACCTGTTCTGCCCCTCTGCCACCTCTCCCAAACCCTGTTCCATCATCCACTTGCTTAAGACTGCTAGGTATGTCACGCATTGCTTTCCCTTGTTTCTCTTTCCCTCTATCTGCCCTGTGAATATCAGATTATCCAAGCCTTTCTTTCTCATGACATATCCCAGAAATTTCAGCTCCCTCTTCCTGATGTGAAGTATAAGCTTCTTATTTGTTTGCATCCCCTCCAAAACCTCATTGTTGCTCACATGTTCAATCCATAGTATCCTTAGCATCCTTCTGTAGAACCATACCTCCATTGCCTCAAGTCTCTTCTTCACATTTGAGGAGACCATCCTACATTTGTTGCTGTGAAGGAGGACAGATAACATGTAACAGTTGAGTGCTCTTTTCTTTGTTAGTAGCGAAATCCTCCTGTCTCGTAATACTTTTGGAATGCATCTTTGGCCATCCCAATTTGTTTTTGGATCTCAGTGTCACACTTACTGTCCTTTGTCAGAACACTTCCCAGATGCTGACCTATGAAAAACGAATATAAACCCCAACCAATGCTGAGCTATAACCCCCTCACAAACAAATGTTTACCTAAAGACTCAACAATAAAATGAAA